TATTACATGGGTGTGGGACTTGGGTGAATGGGTTTATTGGTAACTTTTATAGAGATCTGTGTCAAAATTTAATGGTGATTATTTGTGATCATACTCACATGAGTGTGAGAGAGTCTCATAGTATCATTACTCTTTTAATATATCCATACAATAACCGCAACTAATAATCTTATATTTTGTTATTGTTATATACCTAATTTGTTTTGCTTCTTTTTTTTTAGCCTAATCTAAAATATTCTCGATTCTCTTACTTAACTAATTTTGACTATCTGTATTTTTTATCCCAATTTTTTTTCCAACATTTTAAAGCGAAACCGAATCATTACCAATGTTTTAGTTTGCGTATAGAGTTACTTCCCAACTGTGACTACTACACATTCTAGGGACCTATGGATCATAGTATAATTTCCCCAAGTGTTTATTTTTGTTTGTTTATACATACAGGGGGGGCCCATGTTGTCCTGTTCATTTACACAAGTGGGGCCCATTGTTGCACGCCCTCACCAATTTTAGTACGGCCGACAGTGGGCATCCTTCCATGTGACACGTGTCACCTCACAAGAGTACATGGCCACATTTAAAGCCCACAAGAGAAAGATTTTCTCCTTGATTTGATCCCTTTCTCTCTCCTCTCACTCTTATCTTTCTCTCTCCTCTCACCACCACATAATGTCGGTTTATTTGTCCCTATGTTCACAATCGAATGCAATAATTTATTGTTATGGACAAAAGAAGGGGTAGTGGGAATTTTGTTTGGACATGCATGGTTAGGCCTGCGTCATGGGAACTAACCCAATTCACTTTCTCTCTCTAATTTTCTCCTTCCATCGCTACAAGCCAAAGCCACGACGAGTACCAAAATCAAGACCTGTGCAAAAGGTTCCATGCCAAACGACAAAAAGCAAGGCCAATACTCCCATTTTATATGATATAGACACCTTTTCATATCATCTCTAAAAACAGCTCTCAATTTTCTCTCTCTAAAAAGAGCTCACGTCCTCTCTCTCTCTAGGGGTTCCTTCTTGTATTACACTGTTCTCTCTAATGTGACTCTTGCATCACACTAGGCCGTGACTGCGAGGGGAGGAGAGAGAAAGGCTGTTGCAGCCGTGTCGAGAAGCCCGAATCCGGTAGGAGGAGAGAGAAAAGGGCATTGTTAAATAGCGTCCCTTTGATCCTGAGGTATTCTGTCCATGTCACCGAGCGGTACAGGGCCGTCGGCTCATCCGGTCCGATCAGCGGTTCGACGGTGGCCCCCGGAGACGGGAAACAAAAATAGGCGAATGACAGGCGGTGGTGGACCCTATTCACGACGGCGCGGTGCATCGAAGATCTGCACCGACCGTTCGAGAGGATGTGGAGCAGATCTCCAATGTTCACTACTAGCGCTCCATGTACCGGAGGAACTGTGACCCATTTCTGCCCAGAGGCATCCAGTAACTGGAGGCCGCTGGTGTTGCTCTGGTGGATGACCGTGAGGAGGGACGAGTCTGTGTGCGGCGCGAGCCCCATGGCCCGGGACGGCTCCGGGCACGACGGGTACGAGTTCAATTGGGTCACCCCACTTGAGTCCCCAACCTCCCAATTCAAGTCCTCTTTGCCTGCACCTACCCATTCCAGTATCAACTCCAAAAGCTTGACTGTTAAACTCTTCATCTCGCTCTGATACTCCTCTATCACCTCACTGCATGTAATGAGGAGGTCAGTAAGTTCTTACAATCTCTTTCTCTCTCTACACACACAACTCTTCATTCTTTCTAACTGTGTATGGATGTTACGCTTTAGATTTTGTGTGTGGTTAAGTGAGTGAGAGAAAGTGGTCGTACCAAAATTGCATGTGGTCATGGGGCCAGAGGCGGCGAGCCTGCTCGAGGGGCGACCCGAAGACGGTGAACCCCTCGGTCCACATGCGCTTCGGGAAGAAATGCGTGATACGGGGCGCGCCGAACCCGGCAATCTCGTCCGGCCCCCTCTCAGCCTTGAGCTTCTGATCCGGCGGGAGCGAGAAGAGGCGCCACCCTTGCTCCTCCACTCTCTTCAAAACATTATCGGGAACCCCATGGTTGACGACCTGGAACGCGCCCCAACTAGCACAAGCCCTTCCAATTTCCCTCGCAACGCCCCACCAAGGCGTCGACAAATCGATAACCGGAATGCCATCCAAATCAGACGACTCGAGTGAGAAGCCCTCCGGTTCCTGCCATGCATGGCTCTCCGGAACCGTCTTCACCGAGCCAAAGTCCACCCCACCATCCAAGGGACTGCTTAAATCGCCGCTCGATATGGAAGGCATCTGTATTTCTATCGAGGATTCTTCGACCACAACCGCAAACTCTTCTCTCCGGTAAAAACTAAACCGGAAAAGACGAATAAGGCAATCAGCTGCAAATGCTAATTGTTTCTCCTGTGGAGGAGAGAGAGAGAGAGAGCACAAATTGTTTCTCTCTCTACACCACAAATGCAATTTGTCGGAGGAGAGAGAGGGGCTAGGGACTCTTCGAACACAGAAGCTACTCATACAACGTAGGCATAACAAAGGACATATAAATACCCAAACATTGTAATTATATTCTATGTGTAAAATATGCATATGAAAACACACACAAATATTATTTATAAATAGAGTGAGAGTTGGTGATGGATAAGGGTACTGGCGGCTCCTGGTGGGATAGGTGTCGATATGCGGCCTAGGGGGGAGTGTAATGGAAGAAGGGGACAAAGAATGAGAGAAGAGGGGAGACAAAGGAAGAAACAAAAAATTGCCCCCTCCCCTCCCATCCCCCACTTTCTCTCTCTATACCAAAGCTCAAAATTGGGCCCCTACCTCTTTCTCTCTCTACACCATAACTCAAAATCGGTCCCTCTTTCTCTCTCTCACTAGACCAAAATTTGGCCTCTCCTTTCTCTCAACACCGAGTATGATCCCTCCAAAAAAAATTCTTACTCGAGAGATTTTTTCAAGGGTGTGGTTTTTATAAGGTTGAGGCTCTAAATAATTAAAATAAGGCGTGCCTTCAAATAGAGCTCAAGTATATCGATTGAGTATAAAAAAATTTATGATGGCTTGAAAATCTTTTTTCATCTTTAATTATAAAATTTAAAGATTAAAAAATAGTATACATCGAGTAAATCCATAAATAGTACAGATAATATATTACTATCGTGAACAAGACATACTATTTTTTAGATTTGAAATCTATTTTTTCTTATGTACGTACATCTTGAGGTCGAGGTGATGAAATTGAGGGTTTTTCAGCATCGAAATAACTGGTACATCTTAATTAAATTATTTAGGGCCTCATCCTTATATAAACATTTTCTTTTTTTGAATATCAAAATGGGAAATCCATTTCAAAATCAGAATGATTATTTAGAAATAGAAAAATGTGAATAGGATTTTGAGATCTTCAATACTTAGTTTTTGCTATCCAAAAATCCGATAGTTTGTGTTCAATTTTGAGATATTGTTTTTAAGCTCATGAGGGGAAGTAGACATAAATGGGCCAGTCATGTACAGTGCAAACCTATTATAACACTGGTTAGGAGGTACGATTTGGTTCAAGTAAAAGACTTTAAAATGGCAAGATGAAAACCTAAAAATACATGTGAGAAAATATATTGTGACTTATAGTCTTACTAAGGGTATGTCTCTTGATAGAGCATAATGACGGAATAAGATTCATGTAACGAACTCCAAATAGTCGGAATAAGACTCGAAAGATGATGACGATGTATTTTTTTCAAGTTCGTAGAACATATTTTTGAAATTTTCTTTGTTTGGAGTTGGTCTCAGTAGTCTTACATGTTCATCATCGCCATCTTCAGCATCACCATCATCAACCTTAACCTTATCCTAATAATTTGAAGTCTCTTGAGTCCTACAAAATACATCCCTAAAATTTAGCGTCCCAAGAGTTCCCCTAGACACATTGCTCTTGCAGGAGCTTCTTAATTTTTGAGAAGGGGCTCAAATGCTACCCATGTGCCATGGTCTTGTCCTTGAGTATAGAGACATTCTCTCTCTACACCAAAAACCCATTTCCTTGGGGTAGGGGCACCTAAGCAAGCAAGGGGCCTCAAACTCTCCCCATGTGCCATGGTCTTGTCCTTAAGTAGAGAAACATCCATATCATGCTCTAAGTCACTTTGTTAGTACTTGAAACCATGACACCATGACATTGCTCTCACGTGCCTTAGGGCCTAATGTCACACACATAGAGCCAATGGTTAGGTGTCTTTTAGATTGTCCTCATGTTTAGCGTTTCGGATTATGCGATGGTTTTGGATTCGGGTGGGAACCTTTGATTCGGTTTTTGGACCCAGTGTTGGCGCAAGTCCTTTTCTTTCTCTCTCAAATTGGTTATAAAAAAATGTTTTGGTTTTTTTATTTTTAGTTTTGATGTGATTGGAAATGGCTAAAATTCAAAATATTGGCATCTTTGAAGCGACCGAGGTCACCCAGCGGGGCCTGTAAAGCCTAGGGTTTAGAATAAAAGATATAGGTGTATTACCAAATTTCGAAACTTACCTAAAATTGTAGTTATTTTACCATATATTTCGAAACTTACCTAAAATTTCGAAGCTTACCAAATTTCGAAAGTTTCCTAAAATTTCGAAACTTACCAAATTTCGAAACTTTCCTAAAATTTCGAAACTTACCTAAAATTTCCGAACTTACCAAATTTCACGTGTTTGTACTGTTTTGAAACTTCAAATTTTACGATCAAGGATAAAATTTGATTTTCAATTCGAGTCGATATGAGAACCGCAATTTTTTAGTGGGATTTCAAGGAGCGACTTTACTTTTCATCCTAAACCCCCTAGGGCTTCCACAAACTACACCCATAAAAATTTGTCCTGATTTATGTCTCTAGGAAGATTGCAAGATCTATGAAATAGTGGCTTGTTCACGATGATAAGCACTTTTTCCTTTGAAAAACACAGTTTGTCTTAGCCCCACATGGGTTATATAAGGATCAAATAAATATGCCCTTTAATTATACTGTGTAAATGTTTTAAAATATATACTTCTTTAAAATTTTAAGTAAACTTTATGTAGATATTACATAGTGCATATAAAATACTACTATATGACCTTGTAAATTCGACTGGCTAAACTGGGCTGTGTTCTATGCCCTTTTGGACCACATTCGAAGTTATATAAAAAAGAGGGGCCCGGCAGGCCTTCTTGGGTTGGCCCGGCTCTAACCTTCTATCGTAAGGGCCATCGAGCTGTACATTTCAGGCCTAAACCCGGGTTAAAAATGGACCTGATCTCAAACTTCGGACCTAAGCCCAACCTGTGAGCATAATAGTGAGGCCCAAGGGCCCGTGGGCCGATCTGCACGATTGCACGAGTACTCCTTTGTAATGAGAAAATGACAAAGTACGATAAATTAAAAAAAAATTTGCAAGGAAAGCCAGAAAATATGGATATTTAAAACTCGAATGGTACAATTATTTTCTTTATTGAGACCCACAACCCAAATAATTTCTGTTGATAGTGATATCAAACACATTTTGACAACTGACTGAAACTTGTACTCTTTGGCATTTCAAAGTCATATGAGTAACTGCACAATGATTTGACCCCCAACGACCCCCCCCCCCTCCCCCGGGCCCCCCAAAACAAAAATAAAGAGGAATTAACTTTGAGTAATTTAAAGTAAATGATTCCATAAATTTTCAAATTTGTGAAGTGAAAATACCTTGAATCATTAAAAGTAAGTAGACCAACGGGAAGAAAATAGGGTAATGAATTGATGGTTACATAAATGCATGCATGCCTACCTACTTAAATTGTTATGGGGTTCATCTAGACATATCATTTATTTTTTTGTATATAAATGTCATAATTATTTTTATCTTTTAAATTTTAAAGTGAGTGGTTGTAAAAATGTTGTTAAATAGACACCAAATTATGAAAAACAAAATTTTTTCAGGGACTCACACCATCCAACCAATTTGACATCTAATGAACGAGAATGATTGTGATCTCCATATACAAAATATAAATCGTCTTTTTGTAGATAATCCCAAAGTTATAATGTATAGTTTCGTCTATAACAAAAAGAAGATGTGTGCATTTATATATGTGTTTTAAGTATACGTTTGTGTACGTATGCTTGCATGTGTAAATACTCACATTTTTACATTAGTGAGGGGAAAGGGCATTTTGGCCTTCGTTGTGGGTATGAGAGGGATTCCCTCCCCATATTCCTCTTGGCTTCTATTATTATAAACTTTGTATAACATGTTCTTGTAGGGGCACATTGTATATCTATTGCTTCAGGCAAAAATCTGATTTGGGAATATTTTTCGATCTCAAATTTCGTCATTTGTTCAAAATCACCAAGTAAGTAATATTAAAAAAAAAAAAGGATTTTGAGTTGTTAAACACCTAGAAAAGAAGCCGTTATAAAGCACTATTTTTGTTACTCTTAAAATGTTGATTTTTAAGCACACATATAGGTTTCTCTTCTTTCCTTTTCTCATATCAATCACAGGTTTGAAGAAGTTACATCCTGAAATTTGAAGAAATACTCGGATATGGTGATACCGAAACTCACCCCCATAAGGAAATCTCATATTAAAATGGTATTAATATTGATATTGATATTGACATTGATAAGTTTCTTAAGTTAGTTGAGATACCTATTAAAGTCCAACTCGATAATGATTCCTATCTATAATGGGATGCATGATTTCATATATATATATATTCTCTAGAGATAGAGGAGCAAGAATCTCTTATAAAAGAGGCTATGCCTGTACAAAAAGAGAATAATGATATTCTTATGAAGAAAAACAATGTGATAGTGCCTCCTGCGGAGAGATGTTAGTTTCTTGTTTAGAGACATCTATAATGGAGATTTTGGGTGGTATCTTCTTTTAGCAAGAAAACGTTTTTGTTGCGCTCAAGGTTATCTTTCTAGATAGTAGTTTAATTGTGGAATAGATATGAGAGATCAACGGACGATTTCAGTCCGAAGAGTGGGTGTAAAACGTTTGTTCGACTGGGTGGTGTCAAGTCTTTGAGAGGTAACTATGTGTCTCAAAATCTATAATATCTCTTTAGTATAGGTTTTAGCTTGGTTTGTTCATGGATATAACCCTTTTGAGGTGAACTACATAAATATTTGTATTTTTGTAGTGTGTATTTTATGATTTATTTCTTGTACTACCTGGTTAAGTATAGGTCCTAGTGGATCCAACATACAGGATTCTAGATTCCATGTGTAAGGAATTTCTTGAATCCAACATGATTGAAATTCTATGATAGGAAGCGACTCTTCAGTGTTAGATGTGCTCCAGCAGGAGCATGCGATCTTCTCGTAATCAATACTAACCTATATTGAATACACAAAGTACATGAATAAGCCTCGAAAACCACGGGCACAAGCTAAGCGTGTACGGACAAAGGTGCACATGCATGATTCCATGGACATACCAACATGCACATGCCTTTCTACAAGCACTTGTCTTGTGTTTCTTATTTGCCCTACATAAATGCATACATGCATATCTTGCATTCAAAAAAGCTATGCCT